CACCACCAGTATTCTGAACTTGGATGAACTAAGAGTTTTTCTTTTGGGGGGCTGGGTTCTTCTGACTCATTCCCTCTGAACTCACTTACTCCTCTGGCTAATAAATGTGTATTATATTTCGTTGATATAATATGATGTTTTATTTTTTCATCATCTATCCTCGTGTGGCATTTTTGTTTTTCTTTTTAAAGGTAGAGTGACCCCTGCTGGTTGCCGCATGACCTGTTCACCTGTTCCCCCATGTTTTTGTCATGTGTGTGTCTTCTTGAATGGGTATTCTTAAATGTAATTTCATTGTGCTCCATACAATGACAATAAAGGCATAATCAATCAATCAATGAAATTGGAAAGAAATAGGTATGTTTTTCATTGCTGTCTCTGTGAATCCTGAGCATTTGCAATCAAGTGACCAGCAAGCCTTGCGACCAAGTTTTGTGTAGCAGTTTTTTGTAAATCACTGCTTTTTTGTTTGTTTGTTTGTTTTTGGTAAAACTTTCTAAGGTGGTTTTCTAGACTATGTATATTATTTAATTTCACATCACATCGTGCCCAACTTAGCTGCCACCATGTTTACGATTTAACTTACTAGAATAGCTACACTTTAGAAATGAATAAAAGCATATTTGAACAATTTGTTTTAAAAATAATTAATATTTATGAACAACATGGTTTTAGATATTATTATTCCTTAGTTTGCCAAGTATTTATACACAAAAGAGTCTTCTTGAGTTCAATACAGTATTTTAGAAACTGTGATGATTGTCAAGGTTCCTTAACATTATCGGCCAAGGGGTGTGAAGACATTAGTAATCCTCATCTCGGTTAGCAGAAGAACAAAAAAGAAATGCTTGGCACAAAAAGTAAGGAAATTAGTAGGGGTGCAATGATACAGAAAATTCACAATTCAGTTTGGTTCGATACTTTAGTGTAACGGTTCGAAATCTTTTCAATATAAAAATGCCAAATTATCATACCTTTTTAACTTATTTATTGAAATTAATTATGAACATTTGTTTAAACTCAAAAGTACAGTTTTTAAATTAAATGTTGCAGAAACAGCAAGTTTCTCAGTGGATTTGTGCTCGACAATGCAGCCGAACACAAATCCTCTAAGCCTTCAACACAGCTCATCTTCAGAAGACATGTTGATAAAATAATTTTTAAAAACCTGCATTGTTCAATACAAGTGTGTATTAAACTTAAAGCACTGTACTGAACGATCTGATACAAATATGTATTGTCGCACCTCTAGGGGGGACCAGAAGCTCAAAACAAATGTCAATAGCAACAGCAAAATAAAATGTTTGGCAGAGAAGGTCCTCTCCTTGGGCTGCCACCTTATCGTGGTGGAGAGGTTTGAGTGTCCCAATGATCCTAGGAGCTATGTTGTCCACATCGACAGGAGCCAGTTGAGGTGGTTTGGGCATCTGGTTAGGATGCCTCCTGGACGCCTCCCTGGTGAGGTGCTCCGGGCACGTCCCACTGGGAGGAGGCCCAGAGGAAGGCCCAGGACACGCTGGAGGGACTATGTCCTGATGCATCTCAGTAAACCAGGTAAAAAAAATCAAAAAGAAAAAAATTGTATAGGTCTTCTGGACGGGTTCTTCTCTTATGAAACGTTTCGTCTCTCCTCCAAGAGACTTCTTCAGTCGCTTTCAAACCCCAAAACACATTACAGCAAAGGCTGGTTCACCCCAAAGATCCGGTGCCCCGGCACAAACAGAGCAATGTTGTATATGCTGTTAAGTGCCAGGAGGACTGCGACCAGTTATACATTGTTTCGGGGAAACAAAGCAGCCACTGTTCAAAAGAATGTCCCAACACAGACTCCGTTTTCAGCTGTCCCCCTCCTACAGCGCTGCTATTGCCAGTATCACTCCACCCCTGTTAACAATAAGTGTTAATTAGG